AAGCCCTTACACTGTTAAAGTGAAGCGTATCAACCTCCATTTTACAGTAGTTTGCGGCCTGTTTTTTCACAAGAGCACCAACAGAACAATGCTTCCTTCTCTTGAAGTGTATATGGTTGGCAGTAACCACCAGGATGAAGGTGTGGGAAGCTTGAGAATTCAGCAGGAGCTACATTCGAAAACAAAACACACACCAGGAATAATGCCTGAACACCCTTTGTCCTTGTTGCCTAAGACAAATAACAGACATCTGTTGGCAGGAACGAATACTTCACAGGAATTTCAGGGAAACAGTAGGCGTGCCTAGTGCATTTATTATGTTTAACTGAGGGGTGTTTACTGTTACCGAGGCTAGATGAACCCGAACGTTGTCCGCATGCTGGGACTCCAGTCTCCATAGAAGACCCATCACATTAATAGAAGATGCGGTCCAGTGAGACGTAAAGGTTACCCATTTCAAATGTGTAATGAGAGTCCACAACAAATGTAGGTAACATGCAAAGCACGCTTAGGAGTGACTAAAACAGGGGATTGTAGTGGGAGGGAAGAAAAATATAACGAATGACACTGACGCAACTTCAGTCTACAGAGGCCGCAATAAGGCTGAGGTATTTAAAGTTTCGCCAGTAGTGGGTCCAATGGGGATCCCTAATCATTCGTTAAGGTCTATTTTTGATATGTGCAGTTCTCCATACCACTCAACAGCAAAGTGGTTGGCAGAACAACTTGAACCTATTCGCCGGCAACTGTGTGCACACATCCGATGAGACACGTTCGATTTTGTTAATGATATAGAGAACATTAATACGAATAGTCAGTACATGTGTTCGCTAGACATCTGCTGGTTATTCACAAATATCTCTCTCCTTGAGACTGTCAATTTCATTTGTGAACATGTCGACTAATCGAACACTGGGTTCAGCATACCACAACCCATGTCGAAAAAACTGTTTCTAAGATGCACTGTCAACGGTTAGTTTAAATTTAACAACGAACTCTATCGTCAGACTGATGGGGTTGCCATGAGGTACTAAATGAGCCCACTACTAGAGGACATTTTCATGGGCAGGTTTGAACGTCAACAGCTGAGTCAGTCTACTGGCAGTTTGTGCTTCTATCGACGATACGTAGACAATATCTTCGTTCTACTGAAGTCTGTGCATGACCTACCTGGTATCGTCCACTCATTCAACCAGGCGCATCCCGCCATCACGTTTACTTCTGAATCGGAATCAAAATCAAACGCTCCGTTCGTCGTAGAGTAACATGAACTATACAAATTTTAATAGTTTCGTGCGTTTGAAGCAAGAAAAAAGCCTCGTCCGCTGCCTGACGATTGGAACAAAGAAAATTTGCTGTGCAGACACAAAAGACCAGGAACTGAAGACAGTTGTGAAAATGTCTACCCGGATCGTTTCATAGCTCGGAACATGACTGTGTCTAAGCCACGGAGTCAAATTACCACGGTGTAAAAGAGGGCTGTTTTCGTTCGCCTCCCTTTTAAGAATGATGTTGCAACAGAAACACTCAAGCATCAAATCCATCAGACTCTTAGGCACGCATTTCCGGCGGCAATTCTCCGCAGTTGGTTCACCACATCCCCCTTGCTGACTTTGAGCTTGAAAGACAAACTCCCAGTCCCCGACCAATCCATGATTATCTACTCATTTTCCTGCTATTGTACGGTAGAATATGTAGGTTGAACGACGAGGTGTTTGTCAAAGCGGATCAAAAAACATTACCCAGCGTGACTCGGGGCAGATTCGACCAAATCCATCAACAGTGCAGTCGTCACACATGTCGCAGATACTGATCACTGGGTTGACCCCACTCAAGCGTTCCGTGATGTCTACAAAATTCCGGTAAGCCACCCCAGAGCGGTCAGACAACGGATATTAGCTACTGTTGAATCGATCGTCATTCGATTACGCAATCCGCTTTTGTGTTAACACAAAAAATTCGTGCAAGCTCTACAGTTGCCGTGGCCAAAGGTCACACCATCAGTCGGCATGTTCAACCAAAATCCAACCGATAGTTTCGTGAAGTAATGGCAGGTAAAACTTCCAACCACTCATTATTAACACTGGTGATTTGCTCTATGAATGACTAACGTATAGAGGTCTGGATATTTTGTAACGCTGTACATATTCCAATGACATTCTACAAAACCTCCTTGTTTGGTGTACACATTGTTCTGATTTTGCTGAATCTATATAACTGTATTAGTCTGATGATGATTTATCGAAAAAATTGTTCGTCACGTTTTCTCTTCTATGGTTCAGTGTGAATTTCAGGTCACAATCAACTTCATCAATAACAGATATACACCTGAGGTATTCACTGATGTCTAATTGCCCGTAAGCCATGAAGATCCAGTTCATCAATCCAAAGTTTCACAATAATTTAAGCGCAGGAATATGTCGAACAAACATATGAACATACTATGAGCCTACCGGTAAAGTTAGGGTAGATGGTGCACTGACAGTTTCAAAATTAAAGGTGACACGTGTCAAAACCGTACAATCACACCCATTTTTGTTCAACTTAATCATAAACGAAACAGTGGAGGACTGCTCGCAGCATTTACAAAATACTGATGTGGATCTCGTATTCAGTGCAAAATTGCCCGATCTTGATTGTGTCGACGAAAAGATGCTGTTGTTTGATGACTTTCGATCAGTATGGACAACGTTGGGCGCTATTCTGCACTCTGACAAATAATTCGGAATGTGTTTTTGAGCCTCATACGGGGAAACTGTTTCTACAAGACTAGTGCGGTTGCGTATATACAATATTGAATAATGAAATAATAGAGAATGTTGGTCGGTTCTTTTAAGTATGGAGGAGGTCAGATAAATGAAACGCAAGCTGATATAACAAAGCTTACGACCGTAGGTTAGCTCTGGAGACAAGGAGGCGTGTCACTAAAGCTTAAGGATCACATATGCGAAGCGATTGTGAGTGTTGTGTTATTTCACAACTACTACGCTCGTGCACTCAAGATGGGGGGCGTGAATAGTCTTCAGATATCCGACAACAGATATCTACGTTTCGGTTGTTCGAGTCGAGTTGCACCGATGGATATGTGACGATGAAGTTAGGAATCCGATACTTGATAGTGAGCATCGGTCGAGTACATTCGTTGGAGCTTCAAGAATGCTCAGACCTGGGTGGTTCGGTCATGTGCTAAGAATGAAAACTAATTGTTCACCACATCGAACACTTCGGGTGACGCCGTGGCCAACTGGCGACGCGTACGAGGCAGACAAATAATGACTAGACGTAGATAACTGAAGTGACTCATCGAAGAGTTAGTCACTGTAGGTCGGATATGTCTTCCGCGATGGAACCATCGCGATTCAGGAAGGCGCTGGCTGGAGACTTTAGGTGAGATTGCGGTCTAACAGACCTCGTGGTGTGAAGACCATTGTTGTTTGATCGTTATGTGTGAAGGTGATGCAAATGGTGAGGTGTTGTGGTAACATCCATACGGAGGTTGGCTGGTTCATGACACCACACTTCCACTGATAGTTCGATTGCAAGATGCTGACACCTCGGTGTTCAATGTTTCAGTTTAGAAACAGGTGTTTCTGTTGATCAGATTTTATGTATTTATTTCCTTTTTGAATCTAGGTTATGATTTGGTCTTCCCTTCATGGATGTGTGATAGTTATGTGTCGGTGTGGACCATGTGTGCACTGCTGTCTATGATCATGCGGATAATGATCCCAGTGTTAGCGACCCAACAGACAACTGATTTTGCACCTCGACTTTCCTTCCAATGTTAACAAGAAATGTCTGTCAGCGAGGCTTTCAGAACCGTGATTTGCACTACTATTGGTGTTGCTGGAAAGCGTAAACCCTCAATTGTTCGTAGGTTGCTACAGAAAAAAGAAAATCGTTTGTTTGTGTGTTCCTGTTCTGATGTTGCTCAGGCGGGAAGTTCTTTGAACGGTTTACAGATGCAATATAAAAGTGAACGCACGCGAATAAAATCAGATCTGAACAAACCAACTAGGATATAATCTTATCACCAATGAACATTGAAACACACTAAACCAAAGTTCCAGTCACATATGTACACTTGGTGACCCTTGGGAATGGGCCCGGAAAATGACTTGGGAACCAGTAGTGTATGTTTTCTCTCACGTATGCGTGGATCGAATAACATTTTAAAACTCACAACCGATTTAGTTGTGACGTTAATGTTGGATAGGGACGTCAGGCCTGATGTGCGCTTAGAGGTGTGGGCTGGTTGTAACATCGGATTGAGTGAGAAAAAGAGTTCAGGATGGAAGATTCCACTTTTGTCTAAGAGGTGTAGTGACACCTGTGCATTTCAGCTACTATTTCACAAGTTACAGACAGGATTAAATTATCGGTCGATAGAGTCCCTAGGCCTCGGTTGCATACGTCGTACGCGCATACGTTTGTATCTGTTGGCAGGTTACTGTTCATAAATCACTGGGTTCGACAGTTACGATAAGTCAACAGGGTCTTCGCATATTCTACACAGTATGCAACTCGTCGCAGGTTTGTGTCAATGTCATAGAGAAACATCATTTAGTTGACGACCTGACAGAACGAAACAAAGAAAACCGATAATACTCTGTTAATTGATACGAGGTGTAACTAACACTGAATGTAGGACGATTTCAACTATCACATGTAGTGAGAGCTCAGCTCTTAAAAGAATTTTGACTAAGCTGAATACAGATGCAAAACAATACACACATGATGCAGCAGCGAGGAATTGGCAATTAACGCCCATCAGTGTGCCAGTAGTTGTTTTGACTTTGTCTGCCCATCACTGTATTTGTGGTACACCAGTTACATGTACGTGCATGTTAATGTTGAGTAAAGTTTTTGAGTATTCCATCAAAACTCTTAAACAACGTCTAACTGACGATGGTTGCTTTCGATCCAGTGGATTTACTGCTGCTGTTAACCTAGTTTCAATCAATTTACGGATTTAGATGAGACCCAATTCTGAAAAGTTACGGCTTCGGCTGGATTCGAACCAGCGATAGAAACAGCATGCCTGAACGCGTCAAGCGCTCTAACAGCTGAACTACGAAGCTACGCCAAGAGCTCGGAAATTTCATATTTGGACTCGGTTACCCACCCGTCCCACTGTCCCATACGGAATCCACCAAATGATCCAGGAGATCCACTGCCCCTGCAGGATTTCTCAAACAGTTCACGTTGGACTGTATTTAGCTGAAAACGTAGGTAGTTATATTCGTTTAACCGACTTTTATTTACTGCAGTGGAAAACGTGCGACTTAATACCAAAGATGATTACTAAACGCCGCACTTTGAACTATATACGTGTATACGTGCGAGAATGCATACATTATGGTTTATTTGCTCGCGCTACTAAGCCTATTTTCTACCCACTCTTGTGTAGCCGAATATGCTTGAAGCCACACTTTCAGTAATTAATGGCTACTAACATAAATTAATTAAGAATGCGGTGGCCGCATTCTGAGAAACCATTTTGTCTGATTTCGTTGGTGAAAATCGAACGACAGTTTAAATTATTTAACCCTTTCAAAAGTGAACAAACAGACGGAGAGAATACAAGACTACCACAGAACATTACTACTGAAGTCACCATGTATACTTCAAACAGCATGCATAACAAACAACGTCGTGAGCAGATGCATTAATTGACGTTTATATGTGTGACGTGGTGACATACCTTATAGCCTAACAATCGCTTTTTCCATTCACTTAGGAGTCTTCTCTTAAAGGCTATTACCCAAAACAAGCAATCAATTGGCGCATGCGTGGCACATGAGTGTGAGCGTGTACAAACATGTACTCTCTTTTCAAGTCGTAGTTCTTCTGGGTGTTTAAGTCAGTGCATGACGTTAATAAAGCAGAACATTGTCATCTAACCACCGGGGTAAATACGTCATCAAATTTTTTAACAGTAATACATCAGGGATTGGACCGGCTGTTGAGCGGTCGTACAGACCCAAAAAGGTTAAAGACCAAGTAGACAGTCTAAGGCTGTAGTGATTTACAAAAGTTTAATGTATAAAATTAAACACGCGAGATCAAGGTCTCCGTACCAAACGAGCATATTTCAGATATGCAACAGCAACACGAAATCTATAGAACTGATTAGTTATCAGCCTCCTCAGTAACCTTTTCTTCTAGGATATTCTACGTCACTGTTGAGGTGAACGGCGGCCCGAGTCACAGTACCTTTTGGTCAGGCTCATGGCTGTTATGATGACGATGATGATGATGATGATGATGATGATCCAGCTATCAGGTTTTTGGCTAACAAGACTCTTAGCTCAAGAGTCAAACATGACCTACAGTGGATAGCCTACTTAATCTACATGGACAGGTCTTCAATTGTTCAGCTCGTATCTTCAAGAGGTGAACTACAGCACCCTAAATGAGTGCATGACATTGCAGTCAGTTAGGTGATAGCTAAGACACATAATTCTGCCATGTAAGACAACGCATATCAAGATGCTGAACTCACAGACTCTTCTGATTCTTTCCACTAAACGTTTGTCCTCTAACCTCATAACTGACTAGACGCTAACGTAGGCGACTAAGCGTAAATGTCGACGGTGGAACAAGTGAACATAATTTAAATACTTCGACCTGTGTAAGCTATCTCTGTAGCTTTACAGTAACTTGTTTCTCACGGTTACATTATATACGCTCATCTTCAACTTTAGTAACGTACCACTCTTCCACTATATATGATTTACATTGGTGGGTACAGTTTTGCACTCTAATATGAACTTCTGCTCAGTTGTTGTATTTCCACTACTACCAATACAGACTCTTGAGCATGTGACTAAGTTATCAACGTCTACGGGGTTAGATCTATAGAACCACAACTACCAGAAAAGAACACTTTTCATTTTGAAGTTGTAAGAACGAAAACGCTAGAGTTACAAATATTTCATGGTTGTGGGATGGGTAATTAGTTACTAACTGTTATTGTGCTCAATAGAATACACTTCGGTAGAACACTCATAAGAGACGAAATTTACGCGTGATGAATACTACAATGTATGATGTCATTCATGGGCCAAGTGCGACTGCTAAGGATCTGATGCATGATTTTAGCCAGTTGGTCATGGTTCTTAAATGACAGTAAAATATGTGAGTGATGGGGAAATTCATTCTCCCAGAAGAGAAAATCTAGCCAAATCAGTCAAGTCTACATTACTGTTGCAAACCTAGCTGAAAAATGTTATCAAATTGCGGTTAAAAATATTGCCTTGTTTAATAATACGTGGCAAGTCAGTGTAGTTGAAATGAGAATGCATGTCAGGTTCATTCATTTTAATGAATAATATCAAGCGTTTACCACGAGTTATCGGGGAAACAGCCAATAGAAAAAGCTACACAGTGATTAAAACCATGCTGATGTCAGATCAGAATGCTGAGAGGTCTGTGTATACTGTTTACACTGTTTAATCAGAAGAAGGCTTGACTGGCGCGGACCAGTCACGACAGGAGCACGACCCTCGTTCTCCATCTGCCAAAGTTTTACTCAAGCATAGTCATTTCTTCAATGCTTTTCGTCTCGGCAGTCTTTACTGGCTAACCGTTATTCTTTAAATTCCTTCGGCTATTCGTAACTTTCACTATTGGTTCACTACTTGATAGTCATTGACATGAGAGAAAAATATTAATCATATGTAAAACCTGTTTTGAAAGTGGTGATATAAGGAAACACGCATTCTGTGTGTTGTATCAGAAAAAACCAAAGTCAAAGAAATTGCCTTTACAATAACAACAAAGTATACCACTCCTTTCAAATCATACGTAAGTTCACCAGGTTCCGGTTGATATTCAGCACAATACGATTTTCATAAGACATTGAATGAAGGGTAGTTAGTTGCCGATGGGTAATACTGATGTAATTCCCTTATCAGCTTTGCGGTGGAGTCATTTCTTTTTTTCACCTTGATGCATGATATCCGGTTGCAGCATTCATGACAATCAAGTCATGAATGTTCTCTCGAATGGTCATTTGGCAACGTTTTAAGTAAACAAACAGCTATACATTATCAATCTATTATCTGTAGTGTCTATGATAATTAGTCATGATTACAACAGATATCTCTTCACAGGTAGAGTGAGTTTGAGGAATTTGATGCTCCGTCGAAAACGGCTACAACTTTTTTTCTCTCCTGATATTTTACAAAGGTTTATCATCGGTGTCATACCAAAAAGAGTACATTTTCACCGAGTTCAAACCATAGTCACCTATGACGTGCCCAATCTGTCAAGAACTCCTGCCGAATCAGTCATATCATTTTGGCATTAGAACTGCCGTTGCAGTGGGTCTGTTTCATACCGTGTGATCAAATAACCGAAATATGATGACGCAACAACGATATCCGACATCATAAATATCGCCACCTGTTCTACTACTAAAACTATCAAACTAAGTTTTGTAAACGGGTGTAAATCGTGTCGAAAATCTTCCCGTTTCAGAGCGCAAAATTTCCGGAATCTCATAATGCCCAACAGGGGCGGTTATTTTTGCATATCTGACCAAAAGGTTCAGTGCAGTCGAAAAATGCCTTGTAAAAACCAAGGCTTTAACCATCACAAGGAAGTCTTTCAACTAGTTATAAGTTGAAGAACTATCCGAATGGAATACAGTAATGTTCTAGTGTTGACAGCGCCTTCATGAACAAGGATGAACCGTAGTCAGCGTAGCTTGGTTTGGGGGTTAACGCTCTTTCTCTATCGCCTAACATTCACACCATTGTTATCCAACCCTGAGCGGTTCTGGAGCTTTCTGTCACAGTCGCAGTGGTATTAAAAAAGGAATACTAAAAATCTTAAAGGCTTCAGTTAACAAACCATAAATTGAACAAACGCACGCTGATAAATTCCTCATTCATTGTTGGCGTGTTCATGATGGCTAGGTACTGACGAACCAAAGGAACGATTATGATGTTGAAATGAACATCCGCGCCTGGTGGATCGAACTAAATGATGATGTTCAACCTTATGGAAAAATGTTCACCCGGTCATGGAAATTACACACACGCCGCAATCGAATCGCGTCATCTGACTGTCCTGCACACATCTGCGTGTGTGTGTACATATTCCCACTCGTTTGAAAATTGTGGGTGCGCGTGTGTGTTTGTCGTGTGGCTTTTTTGACTGGATTTCAGATACACAATCGAAACAGAAGTCGAACGGTGCACGGAAAATCGACCAACTGACTCGTTCTTTTGAATGAGCAGAAAACTTTGTTTGTGTCGTGGCATTCGCTGCCTCAGTCATTCGGTTACATTTACTGAAGTCAAATAATCAAAACCTTGGCCAGAGGGCCTGAGTTTGAGAATGATCATTTGAAATAACGGAAGCAAAGAAGAATTACTTTTCTGGAGTTGTAGCGAATAAGTACAGTGCTTATGATAAACTACAAGTACTGAATGACAGCACGGCCACAGCCAGTGTACTGGTAACCAAATACTTTCACTTCTGCTCACTCGGACCACCTTTATCTAATGATTCTATTCAAGAAAATGGTCCGTTTAAACCGAGTACCAGATAAAAATCATTAAAAAGCATACACGCATTTAACTTGTTCGCTTCATAAGCAACCATAAGACGAAAAGCGGCAGTATGAAGTGACAGCAGCTTGTCCAGCCAAAGATCGCTCCCACATCCCCCTTTTAGAATGTGACAGGCGACCGCTACTATAGTGTTGTTAATTTTTGCGACAGACAGTCACTTGCCCAGTGTTGTGTTCGCAAAGGCATACTTCCTACAATCATTGTATTGCATTCACTTGAGCCGCTGCTTTTCTAAATTCGACCTAATACATCTGTTAGAAACAAGCTGACAATATACCAATGTAGTTGGTCACCGGACAGGATATGCGTCTAGGGCAGTATAAAGAATCACCAGCCCAATCCACCTAACATGGCCATGACCACACATAACCGACCACAGGACAATGTGTATATAGATTAGTTTTCAACTTTATATCAAACTGTCCCATTTGGGCGCACGGAGATATGACCCAGAATTACAAGATTATTAAAATGTTTGTAGACAAAACAGTTATCTA